ACTAAATTAATAAAAACCAGTAATTAATTAAAAATAATTAAGTAAATTATGATATTTTTTTAATCAAGGGTAAGGATGAAGTTTCAGTATGTTAAATTTAGTCATTCAGTGCACAATCCGTGTTGTTTTTAAATATATAACTATGCACAATGTGAAAATTATGGATAAAGTAAAGTTCATGGACAAGAAAAATAAAAATAAAATAATATCCATTGATAAAAGAAAAAATATAGTATTTTTCAAGAAATTAAATGAATAACCGTGGAAAAGTCAAGGTTAATATTTACGTGGAAAAATAAGCATGTACGTGAACCAAAAAATAGAGGAGAACGAAACCATGAACACTACTTGGAGATTGTGGCCACAAAACAAGAAAGAAGAAAAAAAATTGCAGAAGATTGATTTGGCGGCGAATAAACTGCTGAAACTCTTATAGGATATCGGATTTTATCTTGATTATATTTGATTTTGATATGATATCAGATTTTTATGTTGATTATAATATCTCGGATTTTTGTTACAAAATATCAAGATTTGTTACAAGATTTCAAAATTATCCAGTATTATGATAAGTTCCCAATTTAGATTTAATTAGGAAATAAATAATAATTATTATATATTTATTATTTTCTTGTACAAAGGGTTACGTCCCTTCATATTTCTAATATGTTAGAACGGTGTATTGATTGATATACACCGTTTAGATTATAAAAATAGAGTATGTTGTATTCCTTGTAACTCAGATTCACACGTCTCAATCAAAAGTGATATTTCTTCTTTTATTTATGCAATTTATTTAATTTTCGCATCTTTTTTACTTTTTTTTTTTCATAATTTCTTACTATCAAATTTCTGGGTACTGCATTTGATACAAATTAAAGATTTAATCACTCTAAAATGCTCCAGAAAGAAGTCCATAGTTATCATCAAGTTTAAGAAATTTCAACCTACGGTAACAATTTGTCATATATATATATTTAATTTATTTGTTTGAAATAAATAGATTTTTTTTTAGGTAAACAAAGTTGAGTCAAGCTTGTGTTGAAATTTTTTGAATTTGCCGGGTTTGGCGGATCAGACGGATTTGGTAGGTACATCATGGGTAAGATCCGGATACATACGGGTCCGGGTACATTGGGGTCTGGGTAGGATTTTGGGTCAAGTAATATAAATATAGGTAGGGTCTCGGGTCCATATATACCTGACCCATACCCTACCCATTGACATCCCTAACGGGAAGCGAATAAGACTAATTAATGTTGACTGAGAGCCTTGAGGTGTAATTCATATTTGGATAAAATTTTGTAAAAGTAATTTTTTTTTTTTTTAATATTTGGATGTACTAAATTAAATATAATTTTAAACTGTTAAAATTATCAAAACTACATATTGTTAATGTAAATGTATTTTCTATTTAACTTTTTATAACATTTATAATAAATTTTATTAATTATATTTAAAAATTTTAAATTATGTGTAATATAATTAAAGGTATATTTATTGAATTTTGGTAACTTGTAGTTTTTGAAATTTTAATTTAATTATAATATATATTAATATATAACTTAACTTAAAATTAATTGTAGTCTAAATCTACTTTAAAATTTTATAAATTATAGTTAATAATTTTAAATTGCTACTATAATTAATATATATTTTAAATTTGGTATTTTAATTATAATTTAAGTATAATATACTCCTTTCGTTCACTAAATTTACTATGATTTTTCTTTTTACTCTGCTCGATTTACCCTATTATTAATTTTGGCCAAGATAATAAATCATATTTATTTAAAAATTACATCACTTTCAAAAAAGAAATTACATGTCACAAAGTAAAATTACAAGCTTCTTTAAAAAAAACAATTACATATCACTTTCAACAAAACAATTATCACTTTTAGAAAATAAAATTACATATTATTTAAAAAAAATATATATCACTTTCAAAAAAAAAAATTATATCACTTTTAAAAAATAAAATTACACATTATTTAAAAACAATTATATATCACTTTCCAAATGTAAAATTATATATCACTTTAAAAAAATAAAATTATACATTATCTTATTTCTAAAAAAATAAAAATTACATAAAAATATTAAATTATACAGTATTTTTTCAAACAAATAAAAATTACATATCACTTTTTAAAATACAAAAGTACACATTATTTAAAAACAATTATATATCACTTTTCAAATGTAAAATTATATGTCACTTTTAAAAAAAAATAAAATTATACATTATCTTATTTCTAAAAAAAATAAAAATTACATAAAAATATAAAATTATACAGTACTTTTTCAAACAAATAAAAATTACATATCACTTTTTAAAATACAAAATTATATACTCCTTTCATCACACTTAATTTGTTTATTTTAGCTTAGACACCACGTTTTAGATATTATGTAATTAGTAAGTAATTAAAAAATGTATTAGTAAAAATAATTATGACTTAATAAAAAAAAATTATAGATTAAGATTAAGATGACTAAATAGTTTAATTAAAATAAAAAAATTTATAAATTATGAATTTTTAAATGTGAGTAAAGTGTATAATTAATTATATATATTTTTTTTAAAAAAAGACAAATTATGTAGGAACGAATGGAAATAAAATAATTGACAAATTAACTAGGATGGAGGAGTATTATTTCTAAAAAAATTAAACAATATACTCCAAAAATAACAAAATATACAAAATACCACAAAACATTTAACTCGAAAAATAGAATGGAACTACAATATTACTCGGTAAATGGAATAACACTGTAAATGTCTGCAAAAATAGAGAATTTGAGGTTGGGTTGAGCCCCAATCCCCCAAATTTGCCCAACCTACTGAAAAAATTTTAAAAGATTTTCTTAATTTTCGTATTGAAACCAAATATTCTAAATTCGCCGGACCGAGGGAGTATAAACTAAAACAAAAAAAATATAATTATATTTTTAACTTTTAATTTAAGTATAATATAGTATAAATTAATTAATTTTTATATTATTATTATGATCAAAACCATAATTTTAATTTAGAAAAAAATGTTTTTTTAATCCAGTAACTAACTACTCTTACAGTTGCGATACTAAAAAATAATTGTCCCTTTAATTGAAAAGTGTTTTTGTTTTTATTTTATTTTTTCTTTTTTGAGAAGTTATTGCAATATTCCTCTCTAAAAATACTACTGAACTTCAAAAGATATTTTTACTCTTTGACAAAAATTAATACAAACAAATATAAAGTATCTTATTAGGTTCAGCTGGGGTTTATCCAGTGCGCACTTTCGGGTAGTGGCTGCGGGTTCCCAAGTCATCCAAAAAAAATAAATATTAAGTATCTTTTGGTCATGGGTTCAAACCCCCGACGCCTCAGGTCACTTGCCACACATAGTTCGCCTAGTGAGACTTTTCCGTCGAGTCTGGTTTACAGGGTATTAGGTTCGATCGGAGATTTACCCCGTGCGCACTTTCGGGCACCGGCTGCAGGTTCCTATGTTATCCAAAAAAAAAATATATAAAGTATCTTTTAGTAGCACAAGTCAAAAGTATATGACAACCAATTCAGACATGGCCTTATTAATTAAGCCAAGAGAACCATAAAATAAATATGAGTAAATTAATTAATCCATTAATGAATTAATTTGGTGAAAGGTGAAAATTAGTAAACAATATTTACATGACATGTGTATTCCAAAATTTGGAGGTGGTTAGATGGGCGGATTAGTCTTTCAAAATATAACTGAAATTAAAACATTATGTATATATATTACTACATATGTTTTGTGGTTCATATCATGTATTTGTGCAATCTTGTATTTTGTACTAACATATGTCATAACATATGATGCATGCACGGCTGGCAGTGGTGAACTCAAAAAATTTTATTGGCTGGTGGAAATTTTTGTAATATATATAGTTTGACTTTCTCCTTTAAATTTTTTTTTTAAATATAAAAAATTATACATTCAAAACAATTTTATTTGGACAATTGAATTGAATATTTGTAATAATAATTTTGTATTAATATAATAGAGATGGCTCATTTTTTTAATTTCAAAAATTGTACTCTCTCCGTCCTAAACACCGTGCAACATTTGTGTTTAGCACGAAAATTTAAGTGGGGGGAGTATTAAGAATGGTAATTTGAGATATTTTGGATATCAAATGATGTGATTGGAGAGAGAAATTATTATTTGTTTTTTTTTATTTGAGTAATGTGATGGGATAAAGTGAAGTGTATATGAATATATGTATAAAAATATTGTTAATTATTTCTAAATTTGAAAATATTGCAGTGAGTTTGGGATAAAAAAAAAGGAAATATATTGCAGGATGTTTGGGAACACTACAAAAAAAAATAATATATTTGTAACGGAATTCCGTCCCTAAAGTTCACGTAGCTAACGTAATTCCATTCATAATTCCGTCTCTAATGTCATTAGTAACGGAAAAAATAGATTTAGAGGCACAAATATTTTGTTACAAAAATAATTTTTTATTATAGTGGAAGGAGGGAGTACTATATAATACAAAAAATAAAAAAAAAATAATGCATTTGTATAATGTTAAGATGTATATTTGTAGTGAGATCAATTGCTACCTTGACTATTAATATGTGAAACATTCATAGCTACGTTGCAGATTAGCCTTCAAATTAGTTCCAAGCACACCATAAGTGGCCGTCTGAGAAATGGAGGTGTTGTGTCATGTGTGCCGCCCTATTTCACAAATTACAGATTCATACCAAACCCTAGATTCATCCCATTGTGCCACCCACAGACATAATTTCTTTTTTAATTAACGAAAAGAATGAAGAAATATAAGATAAAGCATTATGGATTAATAATCATCCCTATATAATGTTCATCCATCATCACCCCAATCTCTCTCAATAAATACCCTCTCTCTCAAGATTTTGTAAAGCAAAAGAAAAAAGAAAAAAACAGAAAGACAAGCAGCAGCAAAAGAAGAAAATGGCCAAAAATGCTGCAGCAAAAGGATTTACTGAAGAAGAAAAAGAAAGCATGGCAATATGGCTTGTTGGTCCTAAAACACTCCAAATTCAGCCTTACAAGCTTCCCCCTCTTGGTAATAATTAATTATTCACATATATATATATTTACATATGTGTGTGTATATCTCTATGTTTTCTCAATTCAAAAATTCTTTTTTTTTTTTTTTTTTTTGAAAAGGGTTTAATTTTATGTATGTGCTGATCCATATCAATTAGGGCCACAAGATGCAAGAATCAGAATCAAAGCCGTAGGTATCTGTGGAACTGATGTTCACTTCTTCAAGGTGATAGATACATGCATACATATACATAATATGACTATTTATATGGGTGTGTTTATTTCAATGAGTTTGGAAAAAATTTGGTTTGAGTTTGATATAACTATTTATATATATATATTTTTTTTCGCAAAATACAAAGCTCAAATAGTAAAATTTGAGAAACCTAGCTAAAAAAACAAACCCTAAATATTTGGATTCGAGCACAATTGGGATGTGACTATTGCTGAATTCAGGAGTTGAAAGTGGGGGATTACATAGTAAAAAAACCGATAATTCCAGGCCATGAGTGTGCCGGAATAGTCGAGGAAGTAGGGGCCGACGTCAAGCACCTGTCTCCCGGCGACCGTGTGGCCATCGAGCCGTCAATAGCGTGCTGGCAGTGCCACAGCTGCCGCCAAGGAAGGTACAACATGTGCCCCGATTTGAAGATCTTTTCCCTGCCCCCTGTCAACGGCGTCCTCGCCAACCACATCGTCCATCCCGCCAAAAATTGTTTCAAACTACCCGACACATTGACCTTCGAGGAAGGCGCAATGTGCGAGCCCCTCAGCTGTGCAATACACGCTTGTCGGCGCGCCAATGTAGGTGTCGAGACCAATGTATTGGTAGTTGGGGCCGGACCGATCGGACTCCTCACAATGCTTGCGGCTCAGGCTTTTGGATCGCCAAGAATTGTGGTCCTCGGCATAAAGGATTCACAGTTGGAAGTGGCTAAAACTCTCGGCGCGGATGGCGTTGTAAAGGTTTCGAGAAACATTGATGTACGTATATTTTCTTGACAAAATTGTAGGTATTTATTTTATAACATAGTTCTATGTTAATTAGTCCGATTTAGTATAGTTTACATATTTATAATATATCTTTCTATATGATATATGTCGTATAAACTATTACGGTTTAAATTTATATCTAATATGTTAGATTAAAATGCTGCATAATTAAGGGATTGAATTATTCTCTTTTAGGATGTGGAAAAAGAAGTCGAGGAAGTTAAAAATGTGATGGGTGCAAGAATCGATGTAAGCTTCGATTGCGTAGGGAATAGCAAGACGATGTCGACGTCACTAAAAGCCACATCGTCGGGTGGAAGGGTTTGCCTTATCGGAATACGGAATGTCAATCTGACTGCACCACTAACAGACAACATTGCCATAAGGTATCTAATATATACTTCATCCGTCCACTTACAATGTTTACGTATTTTTATTTTGGAATGTCCAATTACAAAGTTAATATTTCATTAAATATCCTATTTTTTCCACAAATACCCTTACTTTAGATCACATCGTTACTTTTACACAAAAAAGTAAGAGCAAAAATGTCATTATACTACTTTTAACTACTCACTGTAATTAAAATACTATTATTTCTTAGATACCGCGCCAAAAATAAATGTAAACCTTGTAAATGGACGGAGGGAGTATATTTGAAAAATTAGAAATCAACTTTTATATTTATAGCCAATGATTTTTTTTTTTTTACCCTAATATCCTGCAAATTATGCCCGACCGAAAAGTCACTGGCCAATGATTTTTCTTATTATTATATGACATGAATTTTTAATTATGTTTTAATTTCATATTTTATAAAAGAAACAAATTGTTACTATTGTCCTAAAGTTGTACAGAGAGTATAAGAAAATTGCAAAAAAAAAAAAATATTCTATATATATCTCAATTATCACTTTTCTCCTCTGTTTATTTTTGCTGGCAAAATATATTTTTCACTTTGCAAAGGACAAAAATGTAGGACGTTCACACCACGCTTGGTCACACGCAGCCAAAAGATAGCGACTTTTGCAAAAATGTAAGATATATTTTGCTAACAAAATAAATATAGGAGAAAAGTGATAATGGGTATAGAATTTTTTTTCTTTATTATTGATTCTTTTAGATGCCTTGTCTATTTTTATTTGGATTTTGCATTTAAATATTATTTTGAGGTAAAAATTTTGTAAGAACACATTAAATAATATTTTTTTATCAAAAATTATGAAAATTAAATAGTAAAAAAAAAAAAAAAAAAGAAAAAAAACCAAATCCTTTATTTTAACGAGGTAATGAGACAACATTTAATTGAAAAAATTATGCGGAATAAAAATAGTAATTGGTCCAGTAGCATTCTTGACTTTTGATATATCAGGAATGCGAAAAATATTGTTAAGAGTTCCTTAAAAATATGTAATATAGAATTTTAACATTTGCTTATAAAATCAAAGTAGAAATTAAAAAAATATATAATATGCCATCTCTTAAAGTTCAATTTAAGGGTATGTTTTTTAGAGGAGATTGGGGAAAGTTGAGTTTGGATTTGATTTTTATTTGAATTTTGGGATGAGTTTGGATTTTGTTATTTATTTTGAGTTTGGTTGGGGTTTGGGGAATTTTGATATGTATTTGATTTGATGGATAATGAATAAAATAATATAAATGTATATTAAATTGAATTGATAAAATTTATATTGTATGATTTGATTATGAATTTATATTATACCCAACATATATATATTTAAATTTTTATTTATTTGTATTATAAATACTTTATTTCCTACAAAATGACATATACTCCCTCCATCCCCAATCTATCTATCCATTCTGTTTATGCACGGGATTTTAGGAATATTAGTATAATATTGGGATAAAGTAGAAATAAATGTAAAAAGACTAAATTAACCCTATTAGTATTGTACGATATAGAGGTAATGGCATTTGTGTAATATATTGTAAATTAGAAGGGTATTTGTAATGTTAGGTAGATAGTACAATTACTAAAAAAATGAAACAGATACTTTGTTATGAGACGGACCAAAATGAAAAAATGGATAAATTGTTAGGGGACAGAGGAAGTATATTGTATATATATATTTTTTATTTAATTATAATAAATATTAAATAAAATTTTAATTTAAAAAAAAAAAAAAACAAAAACAGATGGTTTGGCGCACATTTTACTGTATACATTAATTGCATAGTAAATTGGGGCCAAACCCCTGGAGAAACATACCCTAAGAAATAAATACATCTATTTCAGCTAAAATATATAGATTAAAGATATACACATATTACCCATAAATAAAACAGCAATTTAAGCCATTTATTTTTTTGTAGTAGGCTCTGGCCAAATGCCCCTTTCGCCCCTGCCAAGGCGAATCCTGAATCAATTAGGTTGTGTTCTTTTGCAAGTTTTATTACTAATTTTTACTATTTAGATTTTTTTTTAAATATTATATCAAACAATTATTATTATTTTTTTTATATTAATATTACAAATTTATTTTACATTAAAAAAATCAAATTAACTTCGACATCAAACAGTTATTCAAAGTCAATTTTTTACTATTAAAAAATCCAAACTAAAAAATTAAAACTCACAAACAACACAGCCTTATATATTCAAGATTAAATATACTAATTTTATTGTACGTTCTACATACATTTTCAATGTCTAATTATTGCGCGTACCTAATGTATGTATAATTGTCAGGGAGGTGGATCTTGTGGGAATATTTGCCTACACAAACACATGGCCATTGGCAATCGAGCTTTTAAGGAGCGGGAAGATAGACGTGAAGGCGTTGATCACGCACAGATTTGGATTCTCCCAAAAGGAGGCTCAAGAAGCTTTCGAAACGAGTGCAGACGATGGCAATGCAATTCAAGTCATGTTCAATCTCTAATATGAAACCAAATTAAAAAGACAAATCGGTTGGGCTGTCTTCCTATATTGCATCCCATAACTAATAAAACAGTTGCTGCTGTCTATAAACTCTTCGTATACATACACATAGCCTTTTCGGACTCCTGCTATGTATCTTTATTGGAAAAATTACAAAAAATGTATTTATATATATATATATATACAATTATAACTATTGTCTTTTATTTCTATTACTGACAAAATATTACTACCACAAAAAATGCTAAACTATCTCGGAAAATTTTTTCGAAAAAAAACTTCCGAGACAATATTGTATCACAAAATCTTTCTTCGAGACAAATTAGTGTCTCAACTATGGCGAGACATCACCGCGACACTTTGTGTCGACCATGATCTCGAACATTATTTCATGACAATGCATTTTCATATATTTCTCTCGAAACGCCACCAGAGTAACTATTATTTCGAAATAAGACACGAATAAAACCCTGAGGTTTGAATTGTCTTGAAATAAGTCGAGAAAAATATTCCGAAAGGACTATGCATTGTTTCGAAATATGTCACAAAACACATTCCGTGAGTATGCATTGTCTCAAAACAAATCACGAAAATACTCTGTGAATATATATTGTCTCAAAATTCAACACGGAAATTTTTTTTGGGAGCATTAATTGTGTCGAAATAAGTCACAAAAATACTTCGATAGTTTGAATTGTTTCCAAACAAGTTGCAGAAGATATTCCGAGAGTTTGAACTATCTTCAAATAAGTCGTCAAAAATATTATGAGATTATGAATTATCTCGAAATAAGTCACGAGAAATACTCCGAGAGTTTGAATTATTTGGAAATAAGTCCCAAAAAATAATTTGAGACTTTCAATTGTTTTGAATTAAGTTGTGAAAGTATTACGAGAGTATGAATGTCTCAAAACAAATCACGAAAAAAATCTTTGAATATATGTTATCTTGAAATTCATCACGAAAAAATTTCAAGAGAATAAATTGTATTGAATTAAGTAACAAAAATATTTCGAGAATTTGATTTGTTTAAAAAAAAAAAAGTAGCAAAAATTATTAGGAAAGTAGCAAAAATCACAACATAAGTTAAATAAATAAATAAATAAATAAATAATTATTAATATATTATATAATTATATAATTTAAATTAAAATATTTAGTATCACAAAATAAAAAATATATTTTATATAATTTAAAAGTTCAAATAATATTACATTATTATATTCCACTTATATCATAATAATATCTACTCAATTTATTATTATAGATTAATATTTCTGTTACAAACAATAATTATAATAAATAAATAAATAAATAACTACATTTAATTGATATTTCACAACCATCTCAATCTTATAAATTTTCTTTCATCAATTTGTTGATGTATTTGTTCAACAAAAATAAAGTAAAATTCAAAGATATAGAAAATATCCTTAAACTTGATTAATTAGTGTCTGAGATAAGAAATCTCTAAACACTGTACGGTACATAAATACTCTAGAAATTACAAACTACAATACTGGAAATTGAAAGTGGTGATCCCCAAATCTGATTTTTGCTTTCTGAGAAGTTGATTGAAGATACCCTGTTAGTTGTTGACCCAGATCCTTAAATATCCCTGTTCGAAACTGCTGCCTGATCCGTTGTAACGATTACTCTTAACCGCCTAATAACCGCCACATGTCTCTAACCGCCTTACCAACCGCTTTATGCTTAGTCCCGACCTTATTGGCACAACCGACTACCTCTAGGCCCTTCCAAAAGTCGGTTGACCTTATCCGACCATACCAAACGCTCCCGAATTAGACAAACTACCGACTACAGGTTATAGCTAACGGACGGTTGATACCACCCGACCAATCCCAATCCTAAACAACTCTCTTTAGCCATCTAATGGGCCAGGTCTGGGCCCACTCATTTCTCCCAGTTTGGGCCATTTGACCTAGCCAATTTTTCTGTGCGTAACAACTTGCCCGCCGCCATCGGACTTTCAAACGTCACTCTTCGATTAGTGTATTGACAAGACGTTTGGAAGTCTGCAACTCACGCTACAGTGCTAGTCTGACTCTAATTCCGGCACATCAATGGGGTTTTAAATACCCCATTTAGCAATCATTACCCCTTATGTCATTTAAAAACCCCTTTTCCTCATCTGCTCACTTTACACACCCACAATCACAATAGTCCCCTTCTCACTAAGCTTTATCTCATCTCTTTCACAAAATTATCCTCTAATGGCGAATCAATACATTCCTGCCCTTCCCTTCGACGGAACCCTCCCAGAGGTCCCGTTTTCAGCCTCGAAAGTACTAACTCCGACCATCCGACCATACTGCACTACTCCCGAAGACTCAAATCGGATGAGGGAAGTTTTGGAATCCCGAAATTCCTTAGCCGTCAACAACCCTACTTACCAAGCAGTTCGCATTCGAGACAGCATCAAAACCCATCTCACAGACCCAAAAGATCCTTATCGCTCTTGGTATCGACGGGTATCAGAACACTTACAGACCCAATGGCGATCTCAAAAAATCGACCAAGCGATTCTATTGTCCACCATGCCGATCAATCTGCACGATAAGGTGCTCCTAGCCATGTCGGCCTTCTGGAATGCGGAAAATGGGACTTTTCTCTTACCGTCGGGCCCCTTTGGTCCGACTCTCATGGATGTGGCGATGATCGCTCATCTCCCAGTCGTGGGTGAAGACCCTGTGATGGGAGCCCTAGATGGGCAGGAGCCACCAGAAGACCATCTAGGGTGGTCTTTACAAGGCGTGAAGGAATGGGGCTGGACAAAGTTCGCGACCGACCAGCAAGGGGCTCCAGGGACCCCCGTGACCGACCGGGAGCATACTGCCTTCATTCTTTTTTGGCTTTGTAGGTACGTCATTGTTTCCCCTTCTAAATGCGTCCTTTCTTCTCACCTCGACCTGGCCATTCATATCGCGTCAGGTCGGTTCTTTTCCCTCGGCACTCTGTTTTTAGCCAATCTTTTTGAAGGTCTCACTAGAGTTAGCCTTCGTTTAACAGATAATGATAATAGAAAATTAGACACTGCCGCGTCGGGTCCTTTTTGGTTTTTGGAACTTTGGTTCCGTCTTTACTTCCCCGACGCGTTCAACTTAGGATCTCCGCCCACTAGTCCAATATCCGAGAAACATTTGGGATTAGCCCTCAACCGACTCTGCTTAGGACGCAGTAAACTCCAATCCTCCGACCCAATAATAACCACAATTTTGACAGATACCCGCAATAACTCTCGATTTTATATGTATAAAAAATATGTGGGTTATGCTCCCGACCACTTTTGGCCCTTTCCGGCACCAAATCCTCTTCCGACTCCTGAGCCTTGTCCTCATCCCACTTATCCTTTTGCCTGGGACGTTGCCCTCAAACCCAGGTCTCTTTTTAGCAGTAAAAAACTTGATAAAAAAGGGCAAAAAACTTTTTACACCTTTAATTACGAACCTCAATTCATGGCGCGTCAGTTCGGCTGCTGCCAAGGTATCCCTGGACCCGTCGCTTGTCCTCATATAATTTTTCAAAGTCCTGACCGACGGGTCCTACCTAATTCAATTCCTTCTTATATCTCCCAGCTCACCACGTATATAGTTTCCAATTCTTATATTCCTTTCCGCTCCAACCCTGAGACTGTGAATACATTCAATGAATGGTGGTCGGTTGTATGGGCCCTGATTTCCCCTGATAAGGATCGGTTGCTGAACGTACTCCTTCCCCCCCAAGGATTGGTTCTAGGGGCAGCTAGACATACCAGCACTCAGCAACAAACAGCCGCCCCGGGAGTCGGATCTAGCGTCCCAATGCGGAAAAGGAAAGCTTCCCAGCTTCAAACACCTCCGACCTCTGGGGCCGACCAGCAAGCTCCGGCGGCCCCTGGAACTACTAGGACGTCAACAAGGACCCGACCCCGAATAGGTAATTTTTTTGAAAACCTTGAACCATTTCAATATATCTTGACTTTGATTTCTCTCATTTCTTTCACCAGAACCGACCTTGGTAGCACCGACCACACAAACGACGCCAGCCCCAGCCGACCAATCAATTGTCCCTTTGGTCCAGTCTCAGGTAATCAATTAGCACTTTAACTTGTCATTTTTTCTGCAAAACTTTAAATGTTGATCTCCATTTGACTTCAGGCACTTCCTCTCCAAACCCATACTCCACTTCTCGCTTTGCCAATGAGCAGTCGGGCGGAAGACCTGACAAGGAGGCAAACTCTTCCTCCTGTGCCGAGGAGCGGTCGGACCAGGCACCCGACCAGAAGGCAATCTTTACCAGCACTGCCTATAGAACCCGTAAGTCCTCTTATCTGCAATACTTAGGGTTCTAATGATCAACCTTGGTGTGTTTAACAACAACATTTCCATACTTTTTCACAGACACCTTCACCAATCGCATCAGCAGCAGGGGTCTCTTCAGACAGCGAGGGGACTACCTCTCAGATGGGTCGACCGCCATACATGGCATCAGACTCATCCATTTCGAATGAAGAACCGGCTGCCCTTGCCGAAGCTGACCCTCAAGAAAACATCCCTGCTGCTGCTGATCCCGAAATAGTCCAATCGGATGCGGCCGCGCTGGAAGCCGAAGGTACCTCAGCTGCGGCTATCCCAGTTGCTCCTGAGGTACCGGCTGCAGTGGCCCTAGATGCAGCCGCCCAACCAGCAGCCGCCCAGCCAGCAGCTACCCTACCTCCAGCAATCGAGTGGCAAGCAGAAGAACCACCTGTGGCAGCCCAACCTCCAGAAATAGAAGAAATTTCTTCGTCCGATTCGGAGACTTATGTGAATTTGGTAAGATTAAACCAATTCATGCCATAATATTTCTTTCTAAAAATACTAACTGTTTTATATACTACTTTCCATAGGGACCCAGGTCGGCACCTCAGCGACCATTCGCAGCAGCCGACGAATCGGCTGCTGTTATACCAGCTGTCCGCCCTACTCGACCGACCTCATTGTTGCCCCCTTCAATTACAGC